ATATATTTACAATTTATTTGTATTAATTTCCATTAAGTTTAGATTATTTTATTGCATTAGTACATTTATTCGTGTCTCATTCTCCAACATGCTCCTACAATAGTTCTTACTCACTTCAATGCATTCATTGGAGTGTGACGCAAATAAATCTAGGTTAATCTAGTGCGTTTTGACAGAGCGAAAGAAGGATGAAAAGAGAAAGAGCACAGTCTAGTACTTCGCCTATTTCGCGCATGCGCACTCCATTTTAGGCAACATAAAATCGGGAGAGTTGCGCTACTGTATATACTGTGGCCTCGCCATGGTAAAAGTCTGAACTAATAGGCGTGAAAAAGTGATGTTTTGACGACAAAATTTTTCTTGCGTGCCATTTCGTCAATATTTGCTTATTTGTGAAAATGTGACTTCCCTCGTACTCGTGAAAGTCCTAAAAATTGCCGGAAACTGCAGTTATCGTGAAATTTTATACGTAAAAGCGTATATTTCACTCGTTTCATCAGCTGTTAAACTGTGTGATTCTGCCCGAATAGACTCACTTTACGTGTCTTTTACGACCATTTACTGACTATCAGAAGAGGAAAGGACAGTTTCCGGCAATTTTCACAAGTGTTTTTGTACGATATCGCCTTTTAAATTTATCCAAATTGTCTTTATTAAAAAATGGGACGCAAGAAAAATTAATATGTTTTTCTCGCCTATGACGTCACAATTCCAACATGGCCGTCGCCGATATTCAGGAGCCTTAAGCTTCATTATATCATCAATGAAGATTCATTTTTGTTTGATTGCCAATAACGTTTCAAAATCGTATATCCGTTGAATATAATTCTCTTAAGCCTTGTGTATGGCCACGATGGTAGAAATCGGTCTGAGATCTCAGAGAAAGAAAGCATTAACAAATAACATTTGAAACATTTGGTCACATGATCAATATGATTGGTTAATTCTTTCTTTATCCGAGATCTTGGATTGATTTCTAGTATCGTGGACACAGCGTTATGTAATTACAACATGGAAGAAAAGATGTTGAGTAATGCTCATGCTATTTCATATTTTTGGGTAGGCAATCGTTCTTGTACCAAAAACTTCTGAGTGTGCTCAGACATCATATCAACACTCAGGAAGATACAACTGTCTCATCTATTAGGAATCTACTGTCCTTATTGAGTAAGTTATTTTAAGTCTGTATACAAAAGAAAAATATTATGTACGAATTTTATATATTTTTTTATGTAACGCTAAATGTATGTACGAATAACTGTGATTATAAGAAGGATTGTGATATATGTATAATAATTTGATCTCTACTCAATATCTCATTTCATTTATGAGAAAGTATTTCGTTGTCTGTGTAATTACCATTTTTTTCACTTAATTCTATTTTTCATATCTGCAATTTCAAATACATCCGGCAAACATATATTGATATGATAGTATCGGTTTTGATGGAGAGTGACCGATTACAATATTATTACTTATTATTCTGACTAGAATAAACAAATCCCTTATTAAGGCAAACAGTTAAAGAATAAATGACGAATTCGATATCGCGAAATAATGAACACAAGGTAGATACTAAATGCACGAGATAGAGAGAGAACTGTAGATGTGTTGGTAATCTCTCGAAATGAACACTCGTTGAAAAATAGAGTAAATATTCCGATGAGTCTCTCGTAGTTGTTCACTTAAGGTCTGTTTACTTACACCGAATAAATTATAAGTAAAATTTCGGAATTGATAGAAGAAATTGCAGTTTATTGCCGTTTAGAAATTCGTGTCATAATCGGGATGATGACGGCTCGACAAATTCGTAGTACTATCGTAACCGTATTTGCTGCTCGTATGCGAGGGATTGTAATAATAACCGTTCCATTCGGATCGCCAACTGTCATACATATTGTATTTCTTATCCTGGAAGGATTTGTCGACCAAAATCTAAAAAGGAACGTGTCCAGGATAAATACATGATGTCTAATATACAATCGAAATGATATTGATTTTCCGCATTTGTTCACCTTGTTAGAATTCGATTCGAAAGATTTGTCATTCCAAGAAACGTCAGGATCGGTCCATATCGTGTGAGCTACTGGTTTCGAATAGTCACTTGACCTGTGACTCGACGCGTGCTTAACTACTTCTTCATCATAAATAGCCGACATAGTCGGCTTCAGTTTCGATCCGTTTTGCCTGTTGACAAGCTGAAAAATAAATTTATTCATTATCTTTATTTTTACTAATTGTACAACCATACGAAAACTTCGGACGGTAGTCTCTTGACTTACCACAGACACACCAAACACGATAATAAATAGCAAACCTCCCACACCTATCACTATTACTGCGATTGCCCACTGAGGTATCAATCTATCATCCTTCTCAATATACTGCGGCATATTCACTTTAGGTATGACTAAAAAAAGATATGTAGATAGTGAATAATAGAATATTGAAAAAAGAAATCATTTGAGATGACGCACCTACGAAATCAGTGTACTTAGGATCGATAGTAAATATTCCCATCCTTAGTGGACCCTTCATACTTGTTTCATTCCATCGATTGGCATTGTATGTCCTGAGCGAGTCATGGAAAATCACTTTTAATTCCTGCGTGTTCACTTTCTGCTCTAAATTAGCTAGCTCGACAAAGTAGTCTACTAGGATGCTGCCTTGACTGAAAATGTTAATACCTTTGTTGAGTCAGTAATATGATGGAGTGATGTCTAATTATTAAATACAATTCATAAAAAATAATACATAAGAATTTAATTTATGCAAATAATAATGATTATACTTGTGATCATCTTGCATGCTTATTTGGATACTAATGCTTCAAATTACTAAGTCTAAATTACCTGAAAGAATCGATCCTTATATTTTTGTACCAATTCATTAAAACGCTGGATTTAGAAAATATAAAGTTCATCTGAAAAAATGTGTAATTAAACATAATGGCGTAATTCATGAAGATATTGACAAGTTGAGCAAAGAATATACTTCTCGTTCCACGTGATTTGCAAGTTCTTGCCACTCGCGAGTATTTCGATCGAACAATTCTGGCACCCACGTCGCATTTCCGATGATACGTATTGTACCGGCAACCTCGCATTCATCATCGCATATACCAGGAGTAGTCGGTCTTGGCGTTGTCGTCGTCGTCGTCGAAGGCGATGATGATGTACTCGAGATTTCATTCGTACTGGGAATAACCGACATGTTTACTGACGCTATGGTAGCTGTGCGCGCTGCCTCCAATAATTTCTCGATGGAGATCGGCGTGGTGGACGGAGTTGGCCATCCAGTGAACTCTGTAGTAGCTCTGAAATTTTTTTGTAATTTATTCGCTTGATCCTTTTAACGAGTAAGAAACATTGGTACTTCTAGTATTAAAGGAAACTATTCTTTTTATAACAACAACAATAATAATAATATAATAATAATAATATCTGACTTTGTAACTAGGACTAGCTTACCGGGTCGGCCATCCCTTTTGTATTTTTGGTGTTATCGCACCTGGACCATCTCCACGTAGTGTCTGCGGAGTGGTTATTTTTTGGATCGGCTTGCGACCGCCTGGTCTACTGGGAAATACAATCTTCAAGCCACCGGCTTTCTTCGTAGTAGGCGACTCGGAATCAGTTCGTTCTGTGACTGTCGTATTCTGCTCGCTGTTTGCGTCACCAGTAGCTTTACTGTTTGGAACAAAGTCTCTCTTTCTTTGTTCGTAATCTTTAGGTAACAAAGGGGAAATATCGACTTTAGAAGACGCGAAAAGATCCTGGATAGATGAGGCTATTTTTTCCTGAGAGATATCTGTATTTTTCGTTGTTATCGTTTTTGCTGTTGTTGTCGTCGACGTTGTGGTATCTCTTGACTTGGATTCTTCCTCGACTTTCTTCTTGTCATAGCCAAGTGGTAAGAGAGACGAAATGTCGACCTTAGATTTGGCGAGGATTTCGCTGAGGAGGGAACTCTCCGTGACAACTGCATCTTCTTTTTTTAATTTGTATCCTGAAGGCAGGAATGCACTAATATTTTGGACAACAATGCTAGTTTTAGGTGTCGCTCGTAGTGTCGTCGATGTGATCTTTGTCTCTGTTGTTTCCGTGGATGTCGTTGGTTTCGAAGAAGGCCACCTTGAAGAAAAATAATTATCATTAAACGCATAGCTTTTAACTCGTTAAATCAGAATCTAGATTAATCTATGCAATTACATAATTATGATAATAAGCGCTTTTTTTTCTTGTTACTGATAATTAAAAAGTTTATTCATCAAAATTCATCGTTTCTTATTATTCATCTAAAATGTAATAGTGTGTATAATACTCGCAAAAATATAAATTTTATAAAACCTTTCAAAAATGTATATTATACATATCCAACCTGAAATTTGTCTTGGAAACTGCACTCGGAGTAGTTCCTCTCAACATGTAATTTCGAGGCAGCAAACCTTCCAGAGTGTCAAGCGTAGTTTCAAATCGCGGTTTTGCCGTATTAGTGCTGGTGTGATTAAGTTTTCTGTCGTTGTAACGTCGTGGTATGAACTTGCCGATGACCGGTACCTTGGCCGTGGTCGTAAAACTCCTGCGAGTCGTCGCCGTCGTCGTGGTGCGATCTCGCTCGGCTAACACATCCAGTTGCAACGTATTGCCGTTGTTTCGGAAGCCACCGGTGCCGAGGATGGCCGCTGGAAGAAGATCGCTAGATAACTTGGACTGCGCCCAATCGAGCTTATCAATGATGCTCTCCGTGGATGGTGGTTGCAACGTCTTTTTGTTCTGCGCTTCAACCTGCTCCACGCGATCTATCACCGGAAACGGCAGAAAGCGCGCGCCCGATATGCTGCGGCTGGTCTGCACGGAGGCCAGGATTCTCGCGGAGTCTTCCGTAGTCACTTCTGGGTGTTCCTCGTCGGTTATCTCGGGTGATGACGACGACAGTGGTGACGGAACTTGCTCTGTGGTAGCTGGTGAGGCCGTCGTCGGTACCGATATTGTACCGTTCACCACACTCTTCGTAGTCACTACGGAGACCACAGCCCCACCTATTAAAATAGGACTGATCTCGGCGGAGACATTTTCAGGATCCTCTTTCCTGGATCCCGTGCCGAGCGTAGTGAACGTTTTGTCGCTACCCTCCATGGACGAGCCTTGCTCAAACTCTGTCGACGATATCGGATTACTCATGCTGCTAACTTCCTTCTCGACAATTCGCGACGAGTTAGAAGTCGATTCATGCGAGACGTCTTCCTCTCTCTTTTCTAGAGCGCTGTGTTCCGATTCTGACGAGTTCACCGGCGTGACTTCCTCCTCTTCGGATTCCGTGTCTAGATAATCGAGATTTTCGCCTTCTAAAATGAGAGAAGAAACAAATTATTTAGATTATATTCGAAAAAATTGAAAAATAAATCTCTTCTTATAAAATACAATATAGGGAAAAATAAACTTTTATGTCACATATACATATATTTGAATTGAACGGAACGGAAATACTTTTCTCACTTTTAAGAACAGTAAACTGAGATGCGGTTGCAGAATCCATTTGTTTTACGCTAGTATAGGTACATACATAGATATTGAAGAAGGCTCTGATTTACCTTTACAAAATACCAACTTAATGATATACGAAGATTATTTTCACGATTATTAATCGTGCGAGAAGAGAAATAAACAATTATAGTCTGATACGACCGAATCTTACCTGCGGCGTCGTATCGAGAACGATTTCCATTTTCGTACTCCTCATAATAATAATACGTATTGTCGTCTTGATTCGTCGGGAGATCTTCGAGATAATCCCCATCCTTGTCTCCCGCTTCAGTATTCGACACGCTGCTAGTTTCCGGTGGAGATCTCTCTTTCTTCATTGCGCCATTCTCAGTATCAGGAAGATCTTTCTTTTCCACCTCCTCCTCGAGCTCTTCCTCGAGCTCTTCCTTTTCGTGCTTATCTTCATCTTCGTATTCCTCGACGTCATACGTCAGCTTAGATTCCTTTTCCTCCCCTTCCTTCTCTTTCTCATGATCGCCTCCCTCCTTCGATGTGTCCATCATCACATTGTTTTCCCTCGGCGCCAGCGATGCATCAGCCTCGTTGCTGGACGGTGATGCATTTGGGTCTTGCTTCTCGTACACTGAATTCGTTGGTATCAACTGCGAGAGCTTGTCCCAGGACCGAACCGTTTCTATAAATCACGGTAGATATATGATTAACAATATTATAATTTTTGAAGCGTTTTTGATTTCTATACAATCAATTTTTATCACAAATAGTACAGGAGTCGAAGCTGCGAATAGTGCAGAACCTGGCAATTCTTTGATATAGTGCATCGGTTAACTTGAAATTGTAACAGTAGGTAGGGAATAGCCTAAGGATCAAAATCAATATTATGCCGATGGGCGCTTTTCATTTTTTAGGGGTGAAAACTACCCCTTATTGACAAAATCTATAAATCTATATATTAAAGCTTAAGGTGAGTAAAATTTGGTTCAAATGAGTTGAATAATAATTGTTTGACGCTGTGGAACATTATTTCAGAATATTTCAACCCTTAAAAATCAACCCCTAGTAAGGTTGTAATAAAAAAAAAAAATTTTTTACCCTCAAAAAATCAATAATTTATCACAGCGTTTTAAGTTTAAAATGTTACTGCTTAAAATATTACTAATTTCATTTTGTAACTTTTTAACCCTTAAAAACCACCCCTTATGACACTGCAATGCTTAAAAACTACTTTCATAGATAGAAATAGAAAAAAAAATAAAAGGAACATATAGGCAGGTGTGTACATACACAGATATATTCTATGGGTATATGTGTTCGAGTGTGAATGGATGTGAGTATGTAACTGTCTAACGCGTAGTATACAAAATGTAAGCAAGGTAGTGCTCGCATATACATACACGTTTTCAACGTCCGTATCTCACTTAATTTTTGTCGTACAGAAAATGTACAAGAAGGGTAAATGTTTGGAATTAAAAAAGCTACAATTTGATACTGAAGCATTTTTTACGTATCTCCAGTAGTTTTGGACTTATTTTGAAGAGAAGGGCATTCTTCACGAAATTGCAGAAATTCGTTTTTCACTTTTACCTCCAATTTTTTCAAAATTAAGCATTCTAGACCGGTCAAACTCATAGAATGTATTAATAATACATAAATAAAGACAACTGTAAAAGGGCAACGATTAATTTTAATTTGGGTGGTAATTAGGGGTTGTTTTCGCTGATTTTTTTCGATGAAAAAAGTAGGGACCGACATTATTTTCATCATAACTCGCTCAATTTTTATGCTACAGACTTTTCTAAAAACGGAAAAGAAAGGTCTTTTTATATACTTTAAAAAAGATTCTATAAGTTTTTCTATAAAAATGCATATTTTTCCCGTTATTTGACTTTGAAACTCTCAAATTTAGCGTTTGACGAAGAAGAGCTTACTTTTAAGAAGCCGTAGCTCGGTTCCTATTGGTCATACAGAAATTTATAAAACAAGCATTTTCTTTGTTTTTGTAAAACCTACAATTTTGCTCTCTACACTTTTTTTTTGATAAAATGCATTGTTTTCGAGTTAGCTGTGAATAACCGATTCAAAATGGTCATTTTTTCTGTGAAAAACTGATACTTTCGGTCCCTACTAACTCGAAAAGTATTAATTTTACAAAAATAATGTATAGAACACTTTTTGCTTAGAATTAGTTTTTCTATCGATTCCTGTGGTAAAAATGTAATAAAAAATTTCCACCCCCGAGATGGGGTGACAATCATCCCCGGGGTGAAAGCGCCCTATATAGATTTTGATCCTTAGGCTATTCCCTACCTACTGTGAAAATTTCAAGTTAATCGATGCACTGTCAAAAAATTGCCAGATCAAAACGTACGACTCCTGTACTAAAAAACATGTTTTTTATTTTGGAACCTGGTAGCGAATATGCATGCTTTTAACGACGATTTCGACCCGTATAGGTACATAGAATCTGTCTTATAAAGCTCTGAGTTATATTGCTGAAATAAATCTTGGAAAACGCTTTCTAATACCTATTATTTTCATGAGAACATCTGATTTACGAAAAGAAACGACCTTAATATCTTTACCTTGATTTCTTTTTTTCTCTCTCTCTCTCTCTCTCTCTCTCTCTTTCTCTCAGATTTACAACGTTATATGTATGGTATATAATATAAGAAAGTACTCGTACTATCTTGCAAGAATATACGTATCAGCAAAGAAGATTTCTCTTTCACAAACTATTGTCGTAGACGCACAAATAAACACATACTATCTAAAATCTGTCTTACATATATATTTTTTTAGGACAATTTTTTTAGAGACAACGCTGCGTTTATATAGGTACATCTACGACAAACGCTTATGAAAAAGAAATCTTATACTCTTATATATTCTTATGATTTGCAAAATATTGCGAGCACTTTTATACAACGACATAAAAAGACGATATAGCGCCGCGATTTTTACTCACTTCTTATTATACATATTAGGTAATCGCGAGAAACCTCGACGGACCTCGGCGGTTGATTTTTGACAATCGTTTCCGTATAATTGTTGCTCGAAATACAGTATACGATAATATACGATGGCAGTTATTCCGACCGAGCCACGACAGAATGCATTATCGTAGCAAGGTGAAAGGCGAAGTATCGCGCATTTCGCTGCGGCACCGTGCATTTAAACGACTTGCGCGAGCATAATTTATTAGCGGTTTGCGCAATATACTAGCGGATAAAAATCTTCGGGATGGATATTACTCTGGTGTATGTGTCGAAGGAGGCAACTTGTGGATACGCGCCTAAATGGAAGATAGAGAGCAACGAGGAGTAACGAGCGCGCCGCGATATTACGTCGCGCGCTATAATAAAGGCACGATCGAGATACACATCAATATGTCAAGTAAGAAAGAAGGAAAATAAAATAAGTCACGTTTGTAATGAAGTTTACAAAAATAATTTGAAATAACGATATACCTTATTTGATTAGATCTTGACACAAAATTTCTGTTATAGCTAATTTTTATTACGTAACATTTTCCATAGTAAATAAATAGCATAATTATATATTATTAAAAAAGCAAGTCGAAATTACACTTGTATTCTTTTTGTATGTGAATATGTTTGATTATGCTTCCCCCTCCTTGAAAAAGTTGTAGCATGAAAATTCGTAAGTTTATACTCTCTGCAGTGCTATATAATTATTTTTCGTAATCATTACATAATTTCTAATTGGTTATGGACTTTGCGCTAATTGAGACTAAGTACCTCCTGTTCTCTTCTCCCTCTCTCTCTTTTTCTACCTCTTTTTCTATCTGATGCTCAGCACTGAAATAGTATGAGTAGCCTCCGGGTATGCAATTTAATCCCGAAGTCTCCCTTTGTTGTCCACGCAGTAGTAGGATTGTGTTTCAGTGTATCGTAACTAGAATAGTTCCGTAGCTGTAAACAGCGCAACCGGATCGACAAGGAGACCTTGAGAAAAAAATCCGAGGGCGAACATAAACATGAAGTGCCATGGGGTTGCGACTCGTATTTGTGCGCGTGTTTAATCCCGCAGGGGCGTTTCTCGCTCGGTCGCAATTGTTGCCGCGCGCGATTTTGGGATAATTAATCTGCACGCACGCGAGTATTTGCACTCTTCTATAAAGCGTTCATTGAACAGCTGTTGAAATGATCGGATCAAGCAGCAGCTCAATGATATCTTCAAGTGGGACGGTTTGCAGAGCAAAAATTGAAGAAAGAGAGGGATCAATTTTTTTCAGGCTAATTTTTTTCAAGCAGAAATTTGCTTTCTTGAATTTTATAAGATTTATGAAGAATTATATGCGATTTCTTTACTACTCCTTCATGACTCTCTCACCCCGAGCCGTGTAATTGCAACCGTGTAATCTGCAATAAAATTGAGAAACGGGTTCATGTCCGTGTTATGGCGCGCGTGCACGCATTAATCACAACGATCGCGCGTCCCATAACGACCGCCGAAATGATCTATGATCGTCCCCGACCGTGGAACGATCGCACGTCGCGTTTTTACACCACGCGTCGTCGTGAGTTATGCTGCTGCAAATAGTCGGGATAATTATAATTACGGCCGGTCGCGGCCGGCCGATCGCATTCACCACGCTTCACAATCGGTCCGCGATTAATAGATCGGCGCACGGGGTGAGTATAAATTAAGGCGGGGTTCCTCGGCGCTACCACGGCCGCTCTTACAAGGTGTTCTTGCGGTTGATGCATCGCCGCGAATCGATCGCGCACGACCCCAAGGCATCGTTTAGGGCGAAACGTAAGAAGAAGAAGAAGCGTAAAGAAGAAACGACGCGCAGTAAAGTGATGATTGTGGCTCCCATCGAGAGGCAAATCTGATTAAGGATAAATTGGAACAGTAATTCTGTGTCCATCGGAGATTGGCTGGTGCAACGCGAAACGGATGTTAATAAATGAGATGAAACTGATTAGAAAATGTACAAAGTTAATATTAATATTGCGGTAATTGTTGGAATTTTGTTTTCAAATTGGTAGAACTAACGGGATCTGTATACCTAAAAATGCAAGTATTTATCTTTTGTTTGTACTTTAGAGGAGATGAGTATCATGCTAGATTCGCCATTTAGGTTTTTCAGCATAAAAAATATGGAACTTTTTTATTTTTATAAGGAACTAAAAGCGCGCTACTGTCGTTATTATTTTTTTTCTATATTAATGTCATGCTGACTTTGCAGATCTCATTTTTGGATATCTATAATATTAATAAATAAATAATAACAGTTCCAATAGCTTTTTTCTTCTAGCTGTACAATTTCTTATAAAAATAAAAAGTTTCGCACATTTTTTATACAATTTATACTAAAAAGCCAAAATTGGAAAAAATACTGCCATAACTCTGTTTAAAAATAATTTGCAATGCATATCTTCTTCTCCACACAAGTGTCTTTTATATTATAATATAGATTAACAACTTGTAAGTAGTTTCACGAACGTAAATGAAATTGAATGAAATATAGTTGGCTGAGATAATCTCTGTGATAAAATAGTAAGGATGAGTGTCTCCGCCTTACGTTAAAAATCGCAATCTTCTCCTATTGTCCGTGCCAAAGATGCGCAATGAATTACTGTTCTTTAATATACTATACGTTATTTTAATGTGGGCTTTTAAGGTCGCGATGCGAGACTGTCGAAGAAA